CCAAAAGCTCATTTGGTGACCTTTTTTTCGGTTTATCAGGTTTATCACCCAGTTTTTTCACTAAACACATAACTTTTGATTTCGCGCGTTGAATTTTGTAATAAGCAGAAAAAGTAAGGTTGTAGTTACTTTTCTGGCTGTATTGCTTGAAGTTACTGTAGAGGATCATTTTAGCTATTTTTTCATATAATTTTTTATTTAATTTATTAATAATAAATATTTTAAATATAATTTTTTCATGAATCAACAGAATCAGCCAATACAGTCACTTCAGCTAAATCTTCATAAATTTCAGCAGAATCAACCAATTCAACCAATTTTAATGTTACTAAACGGACTCCTAGTGCCATTTCAAAATTCATACTACCTCCGTTCCCATTTTAACTTCCAAATGAGTTTGGCACAAAGTTTAAGATAGTTGATATTGTGTGGTGGAGAGTTGTGCAGATGAGAGAGAAATGTGTAAGAAATGTTGTGAACCACAAATTCTTTACCAAAAAAGAAAGTAGAAGTTTTAATTGGAACAGACGAAAAATGAAAGTTGAAAGTTTATTTAGGAACGGAGGGAGTAAATGTTTTAGTTTATATTGATTTTAGTTTCAAATCAGACGGTACCAAATTATAATTTAACAGACCACTCCTAAATGGACTACTCTGTCTGTCATTATTAGAACAATTTTAAATTGATAAAATTTGACCAAATCAAATTTAAAGGAATTGAAATATTATCTCTATCACTTAAAACTTTGCAATTTTTTTGGTGTCTTATAAATTTTGTCACTTTTTCTTTTTAGTAAAAATAGGTGGATTTTTTTAATTATACAAATTTGATTTTCATGCCAGTTATATTTGATTGTGCTTTAGGAATGGAGGAAGTTATGTATTACAAACAAATATCTGTAATCACCCTTGTACCCACCTTTATATCCATAATGTATGTGTAAGACTTTTTTAATTTGAACAGACAAAATAAGATATACTTTCTCTGTTCCATAAAAGTTGCAACATTGAATTTCTGCACTATTCACACACCTTACTTTGAGTACGATTTTCTAATAATATATATAATAAAAATATTATGTATAAAATATTAATAAATTTGTATTAATGTAAATTTCCAATATATTAACTTTTTTTAGTGTTTACTAATACGTAAATACATATAATTACAGTCAAAGTTGCGCGTTGTCAAACGTGAAAGTCTAACTCTTGCAACTTTTATGGAACGGAGGATAATATTTTGTATGTAAATCATTTATGTAAAAAATACCTTCATAAACATGATGGATGTAGGAGTTAGTACAAAACATTTTCGTTTATACCCATAAAATTTCTTGTTGGAGTGAAAACACTGAAATAAAGTTTGGTACATTTTGTTTTGCTACTTCTCTTTTCATGTGATAAAATACAAACAAGGTCGTCGTGACCTTTGCCACGGAGAAACGGATCTACCCGTAATCTCCCCCCACTAACGTTTTCATTTACCCAAAAAAGAAAAGAAAAACCCAACAGCCACGTGGCAACCCAGACCCCACACCCTTTCTCTCTGATCTTCTCTGCGTTGGGTCGTCTCTGTCTCTCTCTCAAAATATCAGTCTTACTGAAGAATGAGCTGGAGACCGATTCCGTGTTTGCAATTCGAGCTGTAACTGAAACCCAACCCCTTTAATATCTCCTCCTCCCCCCTATATATATACCTCCCCACATTTTCTTTCCATTCACTCAAACCACCACACTTCTACTTCTTCCAATGGAGTTTCTTCTGTCCGCCATTGTTTTTGTCCCATTGGCTTCCTTCTTCCTCCTCCGCCCCCTCCTCAAATTCCTCTCTTTTGGCCCCATCAAACTCCCCCTCCCGCCTGGCACTCTGGGTTGGCCTTACATTGGCGAGACTTTCCTTCTCTACTCTCAGAATCCCAACGTTTTCTTCGCCTCTAAAGTCAAGAAGTATGTGGGATTAATTAAATACTGGATTTTTTTTTGCTGATTTCTTCGCAAGACTGGATCTTTTTTGAAAAAAATATTGAATTTGTTAGTGTTTGTCGCAGGTATGGTTCTATATTCAAGACCCACATACTGGGTTGCCGCTGCGTGATGATTTCCAGCCCGGCGGTGGCGAAGATGGTGCTCGTCACCAAGGCTGACCTCTTCAAACCCACATTTCCGGCGAGTAAAGAGAGGATGCTGGGGAAACAGGCTATTTTCTTTCACCAGGGAGACTACCATGCCCGGTTGAGAAGGCTTGTTCTCCGGGCGTTTATGCCGGAATCCATCAGAGCCATAGTCCCCGACGTCGACTCCATCGCCGGAGCAACTCTCCAGTCCTTGGAGGGCCGTCTTGTCAATACCTACCAAGAAATGAAAACCGTACGTGTGGATATGATTCTATCTGTTTGTGGAATTGCTCAACAGAGACTTGAACCAACCTCCCCTGTTTTTCATTGTTTTTATTTTTGTTTCTAAATCTACTTTTTTCGTATAAATTTAAATTCTTTCTGATTTTGTGGTTTGATATATGTATACAGTACACGTTCAATGTGGCATTACTTTCCATATTCGGGAAGGATGATGTTCTGTACAGGGAAGATCTAAAGATGTGCTATTACATTCTGGAGAAAGGATATAATTCCATGCCCATTAATTTCCCTGGAACACTCTTCAACAAAGCCATGAAAGCCAGAAAGGAACTAGCACAGATTCTGGCCAAAATCATCTCTTGCAGAAGGGAAAATGGCGAAATCTACAACGACTTGTTGGGATCATTCATGGGAGATAAGGAAAGCCTCTCCGACGACCAGATCGCCGACAATGTCATCGGAGTAATCTTCGCTGCACGTGATACAACCGCTAGTGTTCTCACTTGGGTCATCAAATACCTAGCTGAAAACCCCACTGTTCTACAAGCTGTCACAGTAAGATTTTTCTTGAAACGGAGAATTTTTTATTTCTTCTTTGATTATTGGATTTTGTTTTTGTGAGTAATTAAATATCTGGGTGTGGTGGGGTTTTGTGCAGGAAGAGCAAGAAGGGATTTTGAGATCAAAAGAGGAGAGGGGAGAAGAGAAGATTCTTAGCTTCGCAGATTCCAAGAAGATGACTGTTACTACTAGAGTGATTCAAGAAACACTCAGAGTGGCTTCAATCTTATCTTTTACATTTAGAGAAGCTGTTGAAGATGTGGAGTTAGAAGGTCTGTTTTGACATCCCAATGCTACAGAAAGTCTAAAATATCCACTTCAAATTATTTTATTCTATTTCTGAGTTATTAACTTGACTTTCATTCATTCTTTAGGTTACCTAATTCCAAAAGGGTGGAAAGTGTTGCCCCTGTTTAGAAACATTCATCACAGCCCAGAAAATTTTTCAGATCCAGAGAAGTTTGATCCTTCAAGATTTGAGGTAACTTATTAATTTATTTTATCATATGAAAGTTTTATTGATGTGTAGGTTTAATTAATTATTTGGTAGCTCTACCACAAAAATGCCATGAACTGAGAAAACTAAATTTGCTGCTGTGAAATGATAGGTTTCTCCAAAGCCCAATACATTCATGCCATTTGGCAGTGGGACACATGCATGCCCAGGGAATGAATTAGCCAAGTTGGAGATTTTGGTATTTGTACACCATCTGACCACAAAGTACAGGTTAGTCATCATTTACTACTACCATGCATCATGCATGTGTAGAAGACCTAAAAAGTTTGGATTCCTAAAAATAGATGTCTAAGGTTGTTTATCTATCTATCTCCTCATGATATTTTCCTTCTTTTTACTTAGGTGGTCTGTGGTGGGCCCACAGAATGGAATACAGTATGGGCCCTTTGCACTTCCCCAGAATGGTTTACCCATCAGGCTCAATCCTAAACCTGCAAACCAGTTATAAACATCAAGGGAATGCAAAAGATTTGTCTCTCCATTAATTCATTAAAAACCAAAATGATCAGATGAACAACACTTTTACAAAGAATGCCCATGCCATAGTTTTCACAACACCAAGTTGAAGATGAAGAAAAAAGATATCATGAGTGATATATATATATATATATATATATATATATATATATATATATATATATATCGGGTGAAGAGTGATGGGAATTACATGGAAACAAAGTGCATATAGAGATGGCCGGAGTTCCCATAGTAGGTAGGAGTTTTAAAATAAGAGATTGTTAAAAATTCTTTTGTTTCCAGACAAGATGAGAAAGCCAGCTTTATAGGTATGGCTGGAGCCTAGTAATTAGCAAAAAATATTTTTCTTTTTTCTCACCCTCCCCATTTGATTGTTTGCAATTTCTTACATGTATGGAAGTCCGCAAGGCAAATCAATGAACATTTCTTTCACTCTTATTACTGCAAATTAATCTCTCTTACTCCCCTCCACACACACATATAGTCCTATTAGAGCCTAAAAAAGTTAATCTAAGGGTTTTTTAGGGATCTAAAAAAGGGGTGACACCCCATCTTTGAGGGCCTTCCCAGATAAAATTGACCGGACAATTATCTAGAAGGATCTAAGTTAAACTTTGATCACACTCTTACAGAAAGAGAGTGAGGTTCCATCGCAAGTCATTGCTTGGAGTTGAATCTCAAACATCTCCCCTGTGACACCCCTTTGCTTGGAGTTGAGCTTTGGGTCTAATTTTGGTAGCATTCATAGTTAGGATAATCGTCAGTTTAAATTAGTCGAAAAAATTTAATTTATGTCAAAATGTCACAACTATTTTTGGTTTATGTTAGTACAAATTTTGGTTATAGATAATGAATGCATCAATTCATTCTCTCATGTTCTCATTTTATCCAAATTCTATGTATGGAAGAATTTTCGTGTGAACCCACTTTAATCAATCCCTATTGACACTACAAAAAAACAACCTGTTTGTCACAGATTCCTTCGGCCGTGACAATGTTGTCACGGGCTTTGTCACGGAATTGTCACGGAAATGTTTGTCACGGATTTTTCCATGACAAAATCCGTGACAAACAACCTCCGGTGATCGGTAATTTACTCCGGCTAAAATTTATTTACTTTCGGGCACTTTGTAACAGAATAATCTGGACAAATCCATGACAAAATTCAAAAAAAAAATTGTCATGGATCCGTCTGTGACAATTTCCGTGACAAAACCCAATAATTGATAATTCAGCGGTCACCTAATTAATGTTGTACGAAAAGGTGTTTGTCACGGACTTATCTGTGACAAATATTTCTATATATCGCAGTATGGTTTCATTCGAGTGATATCAGTTAGAATTTGATCAGAGTATAATACAATATCTGTTGAAAGCTTGAAGGATGTAATCTATCAATTTATCATTTTCCCTGTTTATGCAAATAAGGTATGTCATTCGAATTAAGTATTTTTTTAATAAGTATTAATTCTTTCATTTTAAATAATTAAAATTGTTAAATTAGTGAGGTTGTTAATTTATTAACAATATATTTAACTATAAACGTAATTTAGTTAAATTTAAATATCAGTTAATTGAAAATGGATTATAAAATTATTAGGTTTGTTATATTAATTGAAAATGGATTATAAAAACTATCAGGTTTGTTTATTATATTAGCAATTATTTTTAATGCCTAATTTAGGTTTTTTAGTGATTTAAGTTATGATTGAAACATTAGTTTAGTGTGAATTATTAGTTAAATGTAAATATTAGTTAATTGAAATGAGTTTGAATTGATAATATTATTAGGTAATACCGTTAATTTAGGTATGTCATTTGAATTATGTATTTTTTTAATAAGTATTAATTTTTTCATTTTAAATAATTGAAATTGTTAATAAATTAGTGAGGTTTTTAATTTATTAACAATATATTTAACTATAAATGTAATTTAGTTAAATTTAAATATTAGTTAATTGAAAATGGATTATAAAATTATTAGATTTGTTTATTATATTAGCAATTATTTTTAATGCCTAATTTAGGATTTATAGTGATTTTAGTTAGGATTGAAACAAAAAAGGATAAGTTACGGAAACCCTAAGCAGAACTCTCTCTCTCTAGGGTTGTCGTTTCGGCAACGCCTAGCTCGGATTGTCCGGTGGTAATCGCCCGATGATTACGGCACCAAGGTCTTTTTTTCTGGCATCATTGGACGTTACTACACAGCGTCGGTTTGCAAGCGTGAAGTGTGGCTTGCTCAGACTTGGCGTGGAGATCGGATTGAGGAATAGAGATTTATGGACAATATTGGTCATCAATACAAAAATATGGCAATTGGTGCGGAAGAAGAAGAACTAGTGAGCAATGCGAAGGTGGCCGTTCCGGTGATTGGCAAGATAGGTTCTCAGATGAATGTTCTTGAGGTTGAATTTCTCTTCTATCATACTACAACTGCTCGCCCTCCTCCGGAACCACCTCTCTGCGAGGAAGTAATTTGGGGAAAGTTTTTATTTTCGTATTGTTTTTCACTTCGCAGTATTTATTTTTATTTCAGTTCCACAGGGTGTGGTCGGAGTATTTTGATTTATGATGAACTCTTGATAGGCAATGTTTTATTTTATGTCGTTTTAGGCTTCTTCTTGCCCATTTTGTGTCTAGCGAGTCATGTTGCTTGGTATGAATGATTGACTCTAAGTGTATTCCTAGGGCTTACGGTCAGATCTGTAATATCTGTCTGGATTTGGTATTGCGTGTTTGCTCTATTTTAATGGAAAGCCGTTTTGATGATAAAAAAAAGTTAGGATTGAAACATTAGTTTAGTGTGAATTATTAGTTAAATGTAAATATTAGTTAATTGAAATGAGTCTGAATAGATAAAATTATTAGGTAATACCGTTAATTTAGGTATGTCATTTGAATTATGTATCTTTTAATAAGTATTAATTTTTTCATTTTAAATAATTAAAATTGTTAAATTTATGAGGTTGTTAATTTATTAACGATATATTTAACTATAAACATAATTTAGTTAAATTTAAATATTAGTTAATTGAAAATGGATTATAAAATTATGAGGTTTGTTTATTGTATTAGCAATTATTTTTAATGCCTAATTTAGGATTTATAGTGATTTAAGTTAGGATTGAAACATTAGTTTAGTGCGAATTATTAGTTAAATGTAAATATTAGTTAATTGAAACGAGTTTGAATTGATAATATTATTAGGTAATACCGTTAATTTAGGATTTGAATTGATAATATTAGTTAAATTTAAATATTAGTTGATTGAAATGGATTTAAATGTGAATTATTTGAATTTCATTTCATTTACATGTTAGTTAATTAATTTGAAATTAAATGTTACTTAATGTTTATAAATTATAGTTTTGGATTTCATTTCATTTAAATATTAGTTAATCATTTGGATTTCATTTCATTTGAAATTGAACGTTACTTAATGTTTATAAATTATAGTTTTTATAATATTAAATTAGATTTTTTTATTATAATATTCAGGCATTATGTATAGACAAAATAGAAGTTGGATTAAAGAGGAATGCGACCTCAATATGATGAAGGAATTCAATAGTTTATTAAATTTGCACTTGAACATAAGGATCATATGGATGGTGATAGAATCAGATGTCCATGTGTCAAGTGTAAAAATCTCAAATTTAGAGACCCCGACGAGGTTGTGTGGCATTTGTACGAAAAAGGTTTCGTTGACAATTATTGCAATTGAACTTCTCATGGCGAACCTTTCGATCCATCACTTTTACCACAACCAGTAGGTTCGTCTCGTAACATCCCTAACGAGATGAGTGGGTGGGGTGATTATGCTCAAATGAACTGGGACCAAAGAATGGTATATGATGTATACGGTGCATCGACGTCTCGGTTTAACCCTCCACAACCATTTAACGATCCTCCTGAAGCCTCGATCTCGTATCAACCATATGCGGATGAAAATCTGAATTCTCATGTCCCTCATATTGAAGGTTTAGCTGAGACATTTCAGAATGTTCTAAAAGCTGTCGATCAACCTCTGTATGCTAATTGTGAGAGATATTCTCAGCTATCCGCCGTTTCAGAGTTGATGAACATTAAAGCTGAGTACAGTCTTAAAATAAAAATATTTGTCATGGATAAATTTGGGACAAAATGAAAAATATTTGAATTCAAAAATTTCAAGTTACCCGCCTAGTCGATTTCGGATATTTCAAAAAACAATTCAAAAACATTTGTCAGGGACAAATCCGTGAGAAAATGAAATATTTGAATTCAAAAAAATTCAAACTTCCGCGCCTAGCCCATTTTGGATATTTTTTTAAAAAAATCAAAAAACGTTTGTCACGGATGTATCCGTGACAAATAAATACCGGCGTTGCTCTGATGTCTTGTTTGTTCACGGATGGATGACGTGACAAATCCGTGACAAAGTTTGTCACGGAATATGGTCCGTGACAAACTTTTTAGTCACGCAAAGGTTGTCGTGGATAATGTCGTGACAAAGTCCGTGACAAAAATTTTTTGTCACAGATTTTTTGAACTGAGATCCGTGACAAAATCCGTGACAAACGGGCTATTTTTTTGTAGTGTGACAAGGTGACAATTTTGTGGTTATTTTACAATAATAATTACAAAATAGATCCCATTTTAATGTTGAATAATTATAAAAAACACTCCATGTTTATCCAATATGAGGCCTCTAACCCGGACATTAGCACGCTCAAGGCAAGGGACCAATGGTCTAACAAAACACTACTAAGCATATAGTCTACAAGCGCTATGTGCTTCCCTCTGCCGCAAAGCAGGATCCTCATCCATAGTCCATAGATTAGCTTACACATGTCCGCACATTTAATGCACCTAACATTTATTAGTAGTATAAGTTCCCCGTTTGGGGCATATGCAAACCGATCTGAACTCATTGATTATCAGATATCTTCGTCTCTCTAACTCTTAGCTCTCCCTTCTCTATAGAATACCGCTAACGGTTTACCGGTGAGCTATCAGTATGTGCACGCATGCATAGTCCTATTAATATCAGACATGGATTTTTTTATTTTGCACACTAATCTATTATAGTATCTGCTCTAGTTAAATGCCAATATCCTTGAGCTGTGATGAGTTTTGATCATATGACTTTTTTCTTGAGAGTGTCACACTGATGTCATCGAATCACCAGGTGTTTGGCATCAGACGTGATTTTCTATCACATGCATTCCATTTTTTTGCCAAAAATATTTTAATGATCAATTTTTTTTTTCATTCTTGTCAAGTATTAATTTTATACTAGTTTAATCATGTTGAACATTCAATTCACCAATTGATAGAAAAATTTGTCACCTTTCACTTTATCTAATTGTTAAGATCAGTTCAATATCAGAAATGATGTTTATCATGATGAAATTGAATTTGAGACATGATCCGATCCGATAGTTAAAATTCATAAATAATTATAATAGTTGAAAGCTTTTGGAACATTTTATTAAGTTATACTCTGGTGATTAAATCATTGCGTAGAGTATTTTTCGAATTAATGCTAATTAATTAATTAATTACGAAAATAATGTTGGGTTAAAATTATTTACCGATCTACTGCTGGGTTTAACCATGGTTGGGGTAAGTCGTCAAACGGTTGGGTGACTTATAAGTCGCCATCCGGTTTGGCGCCTTATAAGTCGTCCAACCGTTTGACGACTTAACCCTGCATCTGAACTAAGCAACCAGCTACTGGAAGCCAGGCACGATCGTGCCAGGCAGGGAGGCACGACGTGTCTGGAGCTGTGCCTGACTCCGTATTTCTTAGTTTCAGTCCGATTTCACCTGTTTCCTATAAATAAGGCCTCCCTTCTCCTATTTAGGGGTTACGAACCAGATACAACACATTACAAAACATACATCACACCTGCTCACAAACACATCAAACACCTTCTCTAAAAAACATACAGAACACCGCATACATACCCTTCACAAATAAGATACAAACCAGTAGATTCCTAACCAGTAAAATACAGTACAATAATCCAATATTCATAACACAATAGTCATCTAATATTCATAACCGAACACATCAACACATCATAAAAGAGTTTACAGGTGGAAATACGTAAAATAAAGTCAATTTTTCCTACAACATCTAGTGTACAAGAAAAACTCCAATACAAAAGACAAACTACAAGTTCTCATGGTCTTCTTGATCGTCTTGATCGTGGAGATGTTGCTGTTGTTGCCTACGCCTACGCCGCTGGCATGGTTGAAGAATCACTCTCTCATGCTGAGTCTGGGATGATGAAGCCGCCGCTGCACTAGATATCGATGACATATCCTGACTCGCCCCAACACATCTGAACACAACGAGGCAATGCCCGTCAAAGCCTGACCGTACATGTCCACGTCATGCGTATCACTCATTGTGGTAGTAGCCCGCTTATGTATACGCTGCAAAGCTCGTGTCTGAAATATGAAACACAATTACAATTAGTTAGAAATAAAGAAAAGTGTTAAATAAAGAAAATGACTTACTTTTAGTAATTAGTAATATACTCACCGTCCGATGCAAAGCCAAGGAGCTGGGCTGATAATGGTGAGTAGAGAGTCTGAACGAAGTAGACACAAACAAACAAGTGATGCTCTAATACCATCCCATGTAGTCTCCCAAAACAGACTAATGGGACTAAGCCGTCAAACCGGATGGCGACTTATAAGTCGCCCAACCGCTTGACGACTTACCCCGACCAGGGTTAAGTCCAACAGTATATCCGTAAATACTTTTAACCCAACCCTATTTTCGTAATTATTTAATTAATTATCATTAATATGGGAAAAAAATCATAATGAAATTTCTTTAGACACGCGTGATGTGATATATACATTAATACATGTGTGTGTTAAAAGTATCCAAATAAACACAACAAAGTAACTTATTTCATTCTCATATTATAACAATCCTAAATATGTTTAAAATAGCTAATAAATTAAAGTATAACTCGATTGTTTTAGCTACAAAAGTATGAATCAAATTGGTAGCAGCATCAATCTCCATACTTTCATTCTAACGATACTACTAACTACCTATATACAATAACTTGTACTGTACAACACCACATTAAGAAAGAAACCAAAATTTTCAAAGTTCAAATGATACAAAGGATTCAGCCGCAGATGTTGTCTTTGGACTCTCAATATTATTTTCGAGTCAAGCCATTCAAAACATTTCCAATTTGAACAATTTGCTTTTTTAGCTTTGACGCTTTCAATGTGATTTTCTCTGTGTTTGAGATAATATCTTAACATTCAAAGTTATAACATGGGATTTTTGTAATTTCTCCGTGCTTTTTCATAGCCTTTTTTCCTATCACGTCGAAGACCGAGAAGGGTAAAGAAATGTCAAGGTGAAAGCAAAAAATTACATTTATTCTATTGAATTAAAAGTTTAGGCCCCATTTTTAGAAAATTGCTACAAATAGCTAGAATGGTGAGGACTCTGGAAGTCTATGGTCTTAATCATATTATTACTAATTTAATTTACTCCACATAGTATACATCTATATACTCCGTTGTATATACATGTAGTACTGTAGTCTTAAAGTTAAGAGCCCTAATTTTCCTTAGGGAAAACTGTCAAATAGGTTCTCGAACTTTTATAAAAAAGTCAATTAAGTCCTTCTATAGGAGAC